CAGAGCCTGGGTTCCTAGATGAGGAGCTCGGGGGATGTTGGAGGAGCAGCCTCATGGGAGTGGCCTCTGTACCTTGGGAAGGGGAGCCTGGGACTGTCCCCCACAGCTGCTTCCTCACCTGGCCGAGTCCTATTTGGCCTTCCCTCTTGCATCCGGTTTAGAATTTTAATTTTAGTACCTCAAAGATGTAACATGGCTCAGGCCATCTGTCCCTGTAAAAGCACGTGTAGACTACTTTACAGTTTACATAGCATGTAAAATTACAAGAAATTAGTTACCCTCATAATGCTTTGTTCCCATTTCACACACGAAACAGCCGAGACTCAACAATGGAGGCGACTTGCCACAGATGGCGCGGGAAGCGGGCATGAGAGCCAAGACCATCTCATTCCAAACCCTGCTGTCATTTCATTACAACTACATGCCCATGCTTTAAAAGCTTCAGCAGTCTGGAGGAAGAGAAGCTTCTCTCTGGGGAAGGAAAGAAATTCAGGTGTGCAAATGCTGCTGTCCAAATCCGGTTGAATTGTGATTCGGTTCAGGGGAAGGCAAAACCTTCCTTTAGCCTCAGTATGATACCCTCAGCTCATCTCCAGTCCTGAGCCTCTGGGAACTGCAGGAAACACTCTCTGCAGGGCTTCGGAATGGGGGGGGAGGGCTGGTCTCAGCCTCTCCAGTTTTAGTATTTAGGTCTCTGTGTTGAGATGCAGCAGTGGTTCCTTCTGGCAGCATGGCATGGCTTTACAGACTGTAAAACCAGGGTTCAAGCACAAGACTCAACGTTAACTACCTGGCTGGCATCCTTCAATTAATTTAATCTCCTGGACGCTCACTACTCATTTGTAAGACTTGCCCCCTACCTCGAAAGGCTTATCAATGGATTCAGTGGGAAATGTTGAGTTTTATTTCCAACTTCCCTTCATTTTTTTTTTTTTTTCAGTCAGGTCTTTGTGTATACAGAGAGAGAGAGAGAGAGAGAGAGACTCACTATGCACAGAAATTACCCAGGGCTGGCGGGGGTCACCTATGGGTTTGACAAGGGACTCCATTTCCAAAATTGAACTATCTGGCCCTTGTGTGTTGTTGCAACAATGAGCAATTGCCAGACTTGTATAAATGGGAACATCTAAAAGGCACCGATGATGAGTAAGAGCACTTTGGGTTTAGACATTGGATATATCGGCATATAACACACAATTACTGCAGATTGTCATCTGACACCCATTAAAGACCTAAAGGTCAGTCATGAGCTAGTCACTGAAGACAAAGGGATGGGTCAAGGACAAGGGCCACTATAGAAAAAGACCTACGATGACAGTGAGAGAAGTCAGGTGAGTAGCAAACCCCTCCCCGACCTTCATTTGGGTCAGCCACCTGCAAAGCTCTTTCTCACCTTGGTCCTCCAGTTCAAAGTCATACTTTCTGGATGCCTCTAGTGACGCCTTTGATTTTTCTGGACCTTGGATGCTTTATCAAAGATCCTTTGTCCACTTTTTATCAATAGTTGGACTTGTTCAATTGCTTTCAAACCCATCTAGCCGCAGAAACTTTATCTCCCTGCCTAGAAGTTCACATCGGAACTACCCATGGGAGTGTAGCTGCTTTGGCTGTCGCATGGGAGGAGTCTCAGTGGGTCCCTTTCACCTCTTCTTGATAGCCTTGGGAAAGGTTGGTAAATCCTCAACTCCAGGAGCATTCCTCAGTCAAAAGAACTCCACCTCCTCATGCCGCTGGCTGGGAATAGTAACAGCCTCACTTACGGCCAAGCACAAGACACTCCCTGGATACGCCCTAAATCAGATTCATCTTCACAACACCCTTGGTCCTTGTAAAAGTTAAGTGATGTTCTCAGTCACAGCTAATAGAGGGTAAAGCTTCAGAGCCCTGGCCTAACTACTCCCCCAACCCCTGCCCTCACTCCCAGGGGTGGCCCAGGCCCCCTTGCCCTGCCCAGGTCCAGATTAAGTGGCAAGGTGATGAAGTGCCAATGCCCAAAGGGATTAAAAAAATAAATAAAAGATTTCTGCTGGCAAAGCCTTGAGACCTGGAGGGGGAGGGCGCTTGCTGATTCTGGGTGCCCAAGATGGAAGCTCAATATATAAAGGCTGGGAGTGTGTGTGCCAACATCCTCCTTCCCCCAGCAGCCACACATGCGAAGGTTTGACAGAAAACAATTCAGACAGGCACCCATTAGGCAACAGGCCCATTTCTGCTTAATCACAGGCAGTGAAAGAGCAAAGAAATTGGATCAGATTATCTGTGCCCCAGCAAAAGCCATCAGTGGGCTTCAATACTTGCAAAGGCTGTTGTCTAAGGATGTGCCTCTTAGAAACCTGAGGCTTGGGGTTGGGAGGAAATTCAGCAGCATATTTAGAGTCCGCACACAAATTATGCCCCACTTCAAGGCTGTCTACTGTATACCTCCCATGTGCCAGGCACTGGGTCAGGAGCTGCTAGGGAAAGGCACAGGAGTGACATTGCAGGATGAGAAACACTTCGCAAATTTAAAAGATGGGTCCAACTGGCTGGAAAGCCTCCCCTCAGCCATGTCCTCCCAATGCCACCAACCCCAGTCTCCACAAGACTTTGATGAGATTTAGCCACAGCTTGGCACTAGGAGTGACACTGGTGAGCACTAGTGAGCTTGGCACTAGTGAGCTTGGTGCTCACTTGGGCCGGTCTCTAGAAAGTTCTCCACATACAGTTTCCTCTGCTCAGTGCTACTGCTTCCATCAGTGCCCAAAGCCACTTCTTGCTGGACTCTGACTCAGCTGCCACCCCTTCCAGGGCACCTCCTGACAGACCTAGATTTATGGGCTTCCACGAATGTGTGTTGACCCACCACTCCATTCTGCCCGCCGCCTTTGTCCGCTGCTCTCAGGTCTGTCCCCCAGTCTGCACTCCAATGACAGAGGAGGCATGCACTAGATGTTCCAGGATGGAATTGACCCTCTGGGCTGTAGTTACTCCTAGTAAATGAGGTGCAAGAGAGATGGGATCGCCCATGGAGCCCACTACTTTGACCATCTGTGGATCTGACAGGAAGAAGGGCTGCTCGGTAGACATTAGTGCCTGGGAGGTCGGTGGTGTCCTCCTTGGAGGTTTCCAATGGGGTCTGCGGCAGATGCTGCTCTTCCTAGGGAATCGTGTGGAAGCCTGGATGATTGGAGTCCAGGAGAGCCTGGCTACTCTGGAGCTACTAATACACCTGCCCTGAAAGCCCCTGGGCTCTAACATCATAGAAAGCATAACGAGCTTCAGGATTTAACGGAAGACGGGTTCCATGACTGACTCCATCACTTACAGGTGGTTTAACCCCAGGCAAGTTATGCATCTTTCTGGGTTTATTTTCTGATCTGTGATAGGGACATAATTCACACCTCCGAAGGTGGTCGTGAAGATTGATTCAGTGATATTACTTCGAAATTGGCCAGCCTATGCCCAACATGATGGAAGCTAGCTTTTGCTTTGTATCAACGGCTGCGGTGGCCTCACCCTAAAAGAGTGAACCCCCCAAAGGACGTATGAGGTCCTGGCTTGTGCATGGTGGCCACAGATCACAGATGGCAGAGAATCAGCAACTGGCGGGACCTCAGAATTTTAGTTAAATACGCACAATTTTATTGATTGAAGAGATTAGGACAAAAACATTAAACCAAATACAGGACAAAGCACCAGAGGCCATAGATTCCCACCATGCACATCATCGATCTTTCCTCCTACGGGGTTCTGAAAAAGTAGGGGATGGGGGAGAGAAACAGGTCCTTCTCGACACAGCACCATCTTCAGAATGTAAAACAAAACAAAAACGAAAACAAAAAAAACAAACCAACCCCCCCCCCCCCCAAACCAAAAAACTCTCTCCTTCGTATCTCCTATTATCAAAATAGAATCAAGGGCAAATCCATGGCCGCCTTGTCTCCCGACTATGAACGGTTAGCCGCCCTCCTGGGAATGTGAAGGCCGGGCTCCTGCTAAGCAGGCATAAAGCATCCAAGATCTGCACACACATGCCACATACTATAATGAAGCACAGATTCAAGTAACATTTACATACTAGAGTCCACGTGTTACCTACCCAAAAACATGACCATTTCACAAAACGTATACAGGCAGTAAAATCCAATCAACTGAGGTACTGGAAACACAAATATTTATGCCAAAAGAGTTCTGTATCATACAGCAAATAGAAAAGCCGTAATAAAAAAAAAAAAAAAAACATTTGCCACTCGAAATCAAATAAAGCTATCTAGGAAAGCCAAACGAAAGGTTATTTCAGGGACAGAAATACTCAAACAAGGAAAAAAAAATATATAGATAAATGTTAACTACAGCATGTAACATGTCATCCCAAGTCAACCCGTAATTGAAGTACTGGCTTAATACATCACAATGTGACATTTTCCTTAATAAATAGAAGAATTCTTGAAAATACAAAGGTGCGTATTGGGATAGAGAGCTGTTTTTATTTATATCATCCTAGCTTCCGGCTGATTTTTTTCTTCCCACTTGTCTCTAACCGAGGGCTTTTGTCCAAACCAGAGGGCCTTCCAAGCCAAAAGGATCATTCTTCCTAAAGAAAATAGCTGCCCTGTATTTCATACGTGTGGGACAACCTGCTTGGTTTCACTAGTTTCCAATAAAACAAGGACAAAATGTGTAGCTGAGACCAGAGTGTCGCAAAACCTTCAGATTCCAAGCACTTCCCGTGATCTCGCCCCTGTTGCCCCCAGCCCAGCAGAGAGGACCACCTACGAGGCAGCCCTCATCGTTCGAAGGAAAAAAAAAATCAGGAGTGAATTTCTCTTTTCCTTTCCCTTCCTTTTCTTTTTCTTTTCTTTCTTTAAACTCTGATAGCAGTAATGCATCTGGACGTTTGGCTTCTAATAGCTTCCTGCCACAAACCCATGGACACAGAACAGAATAGCTTGTTAAAGGACAGATTTTTTTTTTTTTTTTTCCTCTTCAGGGAGCAAAGCATCAACATGTCATTTCCTGACCAGGATATTAAATAGTTTATTTAAAAGAAATGACTTGAAAAGAGCAATTAAGAGACACAAAACTGGACTTCTATTCTCTTTTAGCTTAGCACCCAGGTTTCTGGTCAGTCTGTGTGCACCGAATTTTTTTTTAAATGAACCCCATTAATTATCAGATAAGGTGGTTATCTTGTTTAAAAAGAAAAAAAAAAATCCTTGGCCAATTATACCTTCCCTGAATCGTGACAAGAAGTTAAAAGCTAACAGTGCGATGCCAAGATGTGTGTCTGAGGCAGAGAGTTTTGATTCTGTCGGGATCTGCAACTATTTTGGAACAAATGAAAAGTGGGGTAGGCGGAAGCAGCCCAACTGACAGGGGTGGTCTCCGGGGGGCTACGTCAGGGAAGAGGAGCTCCAGGGGCACTGACCCGACCCCAGACCCCCACCCCACATCTCTCGCCCCCCCTGCTACATGTGCAGCTAGCTCCTTGAAGGTTCTCCTTCTTTGAACCGAGAAACTTGAGTGTCAGTGTCTTTCTTGCTACCAAGCCAGGCGATGCGTGTCCCCTGGAAGGACTTTCCACTGCCCTCTCTCGCTCCTGGTACCTGCTAAGTCTCTGTGGGGCATGAGCTCAGTTAAAGAAAGGGTCCAAGTTCTCTTCCATGTTGACATCCGGCACCAGCTGATCAGACACTTCCTTAGCACCATATCCTGAATTCGAGACGCTAAAATCTGTAGAAAACCAAGGATGGTCCAGAATTTCCTGCGAGGTCAGCCTCTCTGAGGGCTCCCGCCGCAGGATGCTTCGGATGAGGCACTTGGCCTTGGGTGACAGAGTCTCTGGAATGTTGAACTGGCCACGCCGGATCTTGCTGAAGAGGGAACTGGGCTCAATGTCATGGAAAGGGTACCGCCCCACCAACATGGTGTAGAGCATCACGCCCAGGCTCCACACGTCGGCTGCTTTGCCCGAGTAGCTGCCACTGGTGTTCAAGATCTCCGGGCTTACGTAAGCGGGGCAGCCGTGCTTGTCGGAGAGGGAGTCGTCATCCCCCCGCAGGATGTAGGCATCTTCCAGGCTTTCCAGCTTGACCCGAGTCCTGCAAGAGAGAGGACAGCGTGAGCTCCTACGGGTACACCGACGTACATGGATCTCATCACAGCATCACTGCTTCTGCTCTAATGTTTCCGAGATCATCCATTCATTCATTCAACCTGGTTGGCCAAACACAACTTACTGGAGGGCCTTCTAGGTGCCAGACCCTGTCCCATGGTGGGCGGGGGGGGGCCAGGAGTGAATAAGTGACAGGGAATTTGAATGAAGCTTTAGAGCTATTGGGGGACCCACACCTCCAGCAAGTAAACAGACCATAAATGACATGATTATGGCCCCATCTCAGTGATGAGGAACTAGGAGGTTCCTACTATTCTCAGATACATTTAGGGGGTGATGGGGATTCACAGGATTTGAGCTCAGATCCAACCAACTGGGAAGCTCCCAGTAGCTCTTTCCATAGCCCTGGCCAGCTTCTGGTTGACAGGATACATTTTAAAATGACCTTTCACTCAATGGCATTTTGGCTTTAAAACAGTCCCTTTGTTAGATATCTGAGATTTTAGGATTCCAGTTTACAGGTAAGAACATCAAGGCTCATGGAGTTTAAGTAATTTGTCCAATGCCTTTTGACTGGGAAATAGAGAAGACTTGGCCCCACACCTTCCTTAGTCAACCTGTTGCTCCTTCGCCACTACCAAGCTGCCTCTCTGTAGGACATAGGCAAAGCTGGGGAATGTTCGTACAGGAATTCATTACTATTAACTAAGCCCTTCCGAGGCTGACATCTTCATCGCAAGCCCCTCTTCTTCTTCTTCTTTCTTTTTTTAAGATTTTATTTATGAGAGGCACAGAGAGAGAGAAGAAGAGACATAGGCAGAGGGAGAAGCAGGCTCCACACAGGAAGCCCAACGTAGGACTTGATCCCGGCACTCCGAGATCACGCCATGAGCCGAAGGCTCAACCGCTGACCCACCCAGGGCATCCGCAAGCCCCTCTTCTTTCCAAGATTTTCAGTTGAACTTGCCTCCTGTCTGGCCCATCACACTCCCAGGGGCTGGTCCTTGTCCTGATAACGATCTGCCTTAGCTTTACCTGTAACCTCGACCTCTAGGTGTCAAGACGTAGGTGACTGGTTTCTCTTATGTGTGTGCAGGGGTATGTGTGTCAATCTTCCCAGTGCCACTGAAGGACGACTGAGCTGACAGGCTCCAGGGCTCTCCCGGAGGCACGCATGAACAGAGGCAGAGAAACTCCACACCGACTTCTGAGACTCTGGGGTCCAGCACTCATCCTCACCCAGCAGGGCTTGATATGACCATTGGGCACAAAAATAAGTGCTCGGTAAATACTTAGGGACATAAGCTAAACTCTTAAAATGAACTATACTAACTTACAAGTGAACAAAGCTGAGGACTAGGACACAACGTGACTTGCTCAAGACTGAAGACTATCCCCCACCCGGCGCCAGAAGCTCCGAGACCAGCATTTCTCCTGGGCTCAGGGGCCTCCCAAGAATTCCCGTTTCCCTGGTCTGCCGTCCCCTGCGTGGAAAGCTAAGTATTGCGACCCTCCAGTGCTTAAAATGGAAATCATCCTGTTCTCCTGGCCGGAAGCCTCCAACAGCAGAGCTCTAGGAGACGTTAAACCCCAGAGGTTCAGTCCCGTTCCATCACATCATGAAGGCTTGCCACGAAGATGACATGGGGCAGGGATGAGGGGCTGGAGTCAGGGTAACCCAGAGAGTAGCAGGCCCTACAAGGGCCTACGAGGTCACTGTCATTCAGACCAGTTGATTCCATCATCTCAAAAGTGCACATCATAGCCTCTACCCTATTATCCCAAGGTGTCACAGGGCTCCAATGGGCAGAGAATAGGAAAAGTGCTCGGAGAAACCACAATGGGGCTAAATCAGAGCTTGAGGCTCAGGTCCACCAGTTGGTCTCCCTCCTCCTCCCTCAGGCTGCAGGTCTGAGCCTTGCAGGGCCGTCACCACGGCTACTAAGTGGGCCACAGAAGGAAGTCGAGGCTCCAGTTCATCAGGTTAGCTGTCTATAGGAAACAAAGGGATGAAATCCCGAGTTGACTCTAAGTTGGGATCTTAGAGGATCTTTGGATTTCACAAGTTTCAAAGACTAAGGAGTGAAGACTTCCCTGTACTCATTTCTGCCAATGAGCAATAAATGGCTGCGATCTCTGGAGAAGGTGCTGGGCTGGGAGCGAGGAGAGAGATTCCAGGCCAGACTACATCTCTCATCTGTTGTGTGGCTGTGGGTAGGAGGTGACTCAACCTCTCTGTTTCTCAAACTTAAAGGGGAGTGTTGGACAGTCTTCTTTTTAATTTCATTTTTTTTAATTGTGGTACAATGTATATAAAATTTACCAATTTAGCCACTTTTAACTGTACAGTTCAGGGGCATTAAGTACATTCACACTGTGGTGCGTCCATCTGGACAAGAGAGTCTGAAAGCCTCTGCCAGTCTTCACATTCTGGGATTGTCTAATATATAGCAACACGTCTTCTTTACGTGCTCACCCATGTCCTACTGTAACTTGCAGCACACACGTTCTTCACCCCTGAAGCTACCGACCTACAGATGCAGGAAAGGTCTAGACGTGCTAACCTGGAACTGGACAGACTGAAAGCCAGTCTCATTCTTCCGGTTGCTCTTTCTAATCCAAGACAGTGGGTGAGGTGGACCCACACCAGCCTCACTGGATGGTCTGAGATTGGAGTGGAGTTGGGGAAACCCAGGGGGCAGAGGGGAGAGGACACAAACAGGGCCCAGGTGGGCTCTCCAACAGCTTCCTTTGTCCTATCCTCACTGGCCACTGCTCCCCGCCCCCCAATTCAGGAGCTGGCCAGACTCCTGGCCTCCAAGGTCACGGTCATTGCAGCAGAAACATTACGGGAATAACTAGAGCTCTGGCAATGACAGCTGTGGGACAAGGGATGGTCCAGTGGGAGGAGCACCAGATGCAGATCCAGGTCTGGAGCTGGGTTAACTCACCTCCAGCCCACCAGCTCAGGCAGGTACATCTGACCTCTTCCCTGAGCCTGTGGGGTGAGCCTAGGGCGTCTCGACTGCATCCCCTGCCCCGCTTCCTCTTTGTTCCTGCCTCTTCACTGCTCCTCAAACACACCGATCACCCACCACAGTCTTTCCTGGGGTCTCTGCACTTGTTCTCCCCCAATCCCTGCCTGGAATGTGCTTCCCCCAGACACATGGACGTCTCCCACTCCCACTCACTTCTTTCGGGTCTCTGCGCAAATGAGCTTCACTACAGAGCCCTTGCCTGGCCGTCCCATAGACAGCAGCACTCGGCCCCCAGTACTCTCCTGCCCCTCGCTGCCACCTGGAATGCCACGCATTTACGCTTGTCTTGGGCACACATTTATACTCTATTCCATTCTCCTGGTCGCTGCAGGGTGATCACCTCGGTCCCACCTCCACAAGCTCAGGAGCAGGTGGCTGAGGTCGTTTTGTATGTAGGGAACATCACCTCTCTTTGCTGCTCTTTCTCTGCACCAAGAGCATAGCAGACGCTCAATCTGGGAGTGAAAGGGACAGTCACACCATCAACCCCTTGGAGCTCCCGTGCGCTCGTCTTTACGGGAGCAGCCCCGCTCTGCCCACCTAGCCAGGATTAAGTGGATGTCAGGTGAAGCACCCACGGGGCACAGGCTGTAAATTCCAATACCTCAGTCCCTGGAGGGGTGAGGGCGGGTGCAGATGTGCCTCCAGAGACCTGAGCTGCTGCTAGCTCGGCCCTTGCAGGAGACAGACGTCACCACCCCAAGCTCCTTATGCTAAACCCCATCTGAAGCCCTTTTCCATTCTTATCCTCTTCCAAGCCATAACCCAAGACTGTGATTCTCAGCTTCACCCTGTGATCCATCCCCTCTACCAGGCAGCAGGGACCCTACCTCCACCCTGATCCTTCTAGGATCCTTCTCCAGATTAAAGAAAAACACCTTCAGAAATGGCTAAGGGTTCAATCTTGTCCATGAATGCCCTTCCCCGGCTTTCATCTCTCTCTTCTCCCACCTCCAGGAGGCGTGCAAATACCCAGTCAACCCGAGAGTGCAGTAGAAAGTGCGTCCCAAGTGCTGCTGATGCTCAGCTGCCCCTGGGCTGATGCACCTGCCACTTCGGCCTCCTCCCTTCAGGAGTCAGGCTTTAGGTGGGGAGAGTCCGGATCTGTTGTCACGTTCGGCTCAGTGTCCACTGTGCCACAACAGCCCCCTATATACCAGGTCAGCTCTCAGTCTTGAAGTCAGAGAGACCTGGGTCCAAATTCAGGCTTTGAAAATTATTAGGTGCCAGATACCAAACACCATCTATGTACCTAGACAGGTGCTGGGTAGCTACATATATTTCCTCTCCAAAGTTGATAAAATCAAGTTCCAAGGCCAGTATTATTACCCCTTTCAGTGGACAGGAGCCTAATGCTCAGAAAGGGTGAGGAAGGGATCCCTGGGTGGCGCAGTGGTTTGGCGTCTGCCTTTGGCCCAGGGCGCGATCCTGGAGACCCGGGATCGAATCCCATGTCGGGCTCCCGGTGCATGGAGCCTGCTTCTCCTTCTGCCTGTGTCTCTGCCTCTCTCTGTGTGTGTGTGACTATCATTAAAAAAAAAAAAAAAAAAAAAAGAAAGGGTGAGGAAGCCCGTCTGGCAAGGGCAGCCTTTTAGGGGCTGGGTGCTCCTCCCTCCCTGGGCTCCGAGCAGCCAGCCCCAAGTCTGGCCCACCCACCTGAGTAGCTGGCACAGGAAACCACAACTGGGCTGTCCCAGTCAATCAGGCCTCCTCAAAGTTGGCAGCACACACGCAACCGGGGTCAGGGAGAGCCGGCCTGGGGGGCACAGACATCCCAAGCAGGGGAGATGAGAAGAAAAAGAGAAGCCCAGAGAAAGATGGGGAGGACGTACTCGCAAGCGTACTTCTGACCTCGCCTCCTGCCCGGAACACCGTGACCTTGTTTACATCACTCCTAGGCAGGGGTCAAGGCAAGGGGTCTGGATTATGTCTTTACCCAAGGGCCTTG